AGCTGGAAAATGGAACATTTGGAACGTACGAATTTCCAACTGCTTCTCGCAAACGTTTAAATTGCTTTTCAAATAAATATCTACACTTATTGATAATAGTTTTTAGACGAGAATGCTGAAAATTCTCTTTTTATTTTACTGTAAGCAAGGAAAAGAGAAGATACATTGGAGTAGTTAATAATTATTTCTTAATTTTCTTCAAATTTGATGATTTGAAAAAAAAAGGATTAGTGAAAGAAAAAATTAATTGATAATAATGCTTATGTCATAAGCATGTTAATAATTTTTTATTGTTAGAAAAAAAACAATAATAAAATTTCGTAGCACTTAAAATACTAAATGCCATTGATTTGCCACGAATTTTTCATTTGTCGTGTGTTTTTAATTGTATTAATTAGAAGTTCATTATTTCTAAACTCCACGATATATAAAAATGCACAACAATTTTCAACGATCGTATCTGTATTTCGTTACCGCAAAAAGAAAGATCACTGTTAACGATATTAAACAGGATTATATTATGTGGAGAATAACGATGTAATTAATTTAAAGGTCTAGTGGAGAGAGAAAAATGTATCAAGAGAATATGTTCTGTATTATTGCACTTCATACTCGTAATGTTAAGAGAGAACTTCGTAGAAATTAAATCCAATAAAAGTACGGATAGTTTGTAGCACATAACCGCAGCTATATTCAATTAAAAATACTAGAAATCCGTTGTTTCTATAATACCATTTGCAATAACAATTTGAGTTACGTCTTATAGATCTCCAAATGAAATCCAAATTAAAACTGTATTTCCTAACACGCGACTTATTATTAGCAAGCTCGAGTTATTTTATGTTAAATTCGAGACAACCAATAACAATGCAAATCCAATAACAATGAAAAATTGCTCTCCATTTTCCCACAAATGTGTGTTTCTTACGGGCTATTTCAGGCGGAATCCTCGAGATTTTTATTATGCACAAGTGTAGGTGCGTACGCGTGTATGTGGAGTTGAAAAACTAAAAAAAAAAGCAAAGAAAATATGGAAGTAAAGAGATATTGGATTTAAAGTAGATAACGTGTATTATATAAATATTATATAAATGAAAGGTCAAATACATACGGATGTACAATGTTCACACATGTATGTATGTATGTACATACATATGTACTATATACGTACATACAGTGCGGTTGCGAGATCGTCAAATGTTGCGGAATGAATATTACAGTTGCGAAAAAATTCCAGCGCGCGCATATCGCAGCGAACTGAACTATGGCACATGCAGCTCGATGCTCTGAGGCCGCTGAGGCGCACCTTAACGTATTTCCGTGTAATTTAGCTAATTGAAGTGGGCAACGACAGGCAGGCACGACGCTAGAGGATTTACGCGGAATGCGGAAAGAATTAATAACCACATTATCTTGCAGAAGCGTTTCACATATATTCGCCTGTATATAAGTATGAAAGAGCCAAGTTGAAAAACGAACAGGATTCCACTCTTATTCACACTCAAGTATTAGTGTTATTGTTATTATACAATATTAAAATCTTTCTTTTATTACGTCTGCCTACAGCTGTATAACAGCTGTAACAGTAGTCACGGTATCTCTCTAATTCCTGATTAATGAATTCAGAGTGAGATTGCATTATCTTTCGATTTGCATCTTGTTTACCGACATGCCCTTACTGCAAAAGCTAAAATGTTACACATGATATCACTCCCTTACTTCAAAAGTAAACTCAGAAAATGTGATTTTCGAATTATTACTATGAATAAGTTAACCCTTTACGTCATGATGGGAAACTCTCCGAGTTCTATCTTTTCTATCTTTTTTCCATTCAATTTTTAATTATTTTGATAAATTTCTTGATATCAAATACCGGCTTTTTTTATTTTCGTAATTTTTAGACATTTCGTAATTTTAACACATGAATAAGTGTTTAAAAAAGAATAGGCAACCATAAATTTTTGTTTGCGTAATTATTGTAATTAAACAAGTAGCCAAAATTTGTGCTTTTTTTAATGTTCTCTACTAAGCTGTATTATCAATATCAAAACGGCAATTTATATTCATTTGAAACATCCTGAAGTATTTTTCAGAATTTTTTTCAGCTTTTTTTCGGTACATTGTTTGTTTTGTTATAAATTGACATCTTTGAAAAAATATGGTAAAGTCAATATTTTCTACTGTAAATCCAAATAAATAGAATTTGAATTGCTCTTATAATCTAGAAGTTTTTTTGAATCACTGAATCCTAATCTAATGCCAAAAAAATTTCAAATTTTAAAATCTAAAATGGAATCGCAATGATGGATCAAAAACGAAAAAAATAGTCTTATCATTTTAAAACTCAGTTCATGGATATTCTGATTGCTGCATTTGAATCCGAGGTCATTATTAAATAAAACCTGTTTCTTAGTAAATAATTAATTTTTATAAATAATGAAATACAAAATATTTCACTAAAAATTAATTAAATTATTGGTCCACTATTGGATCGACCATTTAAAAATTCTGATTTCTGATTATGAATCAATGACCCAAAAAATCTCCGGGTTCAAAGTTTCAAAAAAATCGATCTCATATAAAAATTCACGATACAAAGGATTAAGTAAATACATCAATCGCCAAAAGTAAACTAATTTAATTTTATAAAAAATCATCACAATCCGAAAATCGGGCTGATCTTTAAAAGTTATGAAACAAAAATGACGAAAGTGACATTTGATCATATTAAGAATGACTGTATTCTTTTTGCATTATCTAATTAGTCAATAATTTTCAGTTGAAAAATACATAATTTCTCTCTTTTTAAAAAAAAATTAATCTTTTTAAACAATTAATTATTAAATTAGGTTCCAGAGAATAAATTAAATAAATGTATACTTAATGCCTATCAAAACCAATCCAAGTTGTTAAAAAGTGTGTAGTAAATGAACTTTTACACACTTTAATAACTTATGTTGGCTTTGATATGCATTATACATTTATTTGACCTTTTGAAACAACATGACATGAATTTGAACCGATCAGAATAAATTTAATTAAATAAGAGAATTCCTATATTCGGTTAAAGCGAATATAGGAATTCTCTTATTATTATTTGTAATTAAGTTTATTTTCATCAATCCAAATTCGTATCATATTGTTTATCACTGAAACATGTGACATTCGTTTACTAGTTATTGGTTATTGCGACAAATATTGCCGAAGCTTTTGTGATCGAATCGGTATAACGCTCGTCCTGTAAAGTTGGGAGTTCTAAGTTCAAACCGTGACTAACGCAATATTTTTCTGCAATAAAATTATTTGCACATTAAAAATTTTTATTCACATCTAACTATCGATTAATATCCTATTATTTGCATAAAAAATTATTTGCATAAAGAATTATTAAATTGCTTGTCAATTGAATAAGTGATATTAATATTCGAAATCTGCTTATGATTGCGTTTCAAGAAAAAGATTTCGGCGCGTAGATTGCAGAGTCAGATATGTATATGAATTCACACAGAAATGTTTAAATATTAAGATCCGCTTTAACAGGAATTCTCTTATTTAATTAGATTTAATATTTTTAGTTGCGTCACAAGTAAAGAAATAATATTTGAAATAATGAATATTAAAAGAAGAACAACTCCACATTCCGCGAAACATCTGTAATGTAAAAAATGTGTAACTTTAGATTTAGTAATTTGTGTATTACATTAGTCATTCTTAAAATTCAATGTCGATCATGCGATTTGTCATTTATTACATATTATATACCCAGTGCGAGAATGAAACTCGTATTAAACCTGTGTTACACTGGAGACTGAAGATTGCGAATTAAAGATTAAAATTCAGCCAATTAGAACAAAAAGGATTAAAATTAAAATTATCTGATCGATCGGTTTCTAATCTCTAATTCGCAATCCTCAGTCTCCAATGCGTAGCGTGACACGGATTTTAATGTGACAAGTCTTGCGCCGGATAAACGTTTTTTTTTTTTTTCAAACTCGTTCGCGAATGCAAACTCAGCGTAAATCGATTCTTTCCCGGTGTTCCACGCTGCGAATCCCGATGTCGATCGATCGTCGGTATCGAGATCGTCAAGACATTAATTGTTTGTTGCGACGACCCGCCTAGTTATGTTAGCACTTCGCTGCTGGTATTAGAACCTTTTAATTCGGAGAACGACAATCGCGATGGCCGGGCAGGTGACCCACTTATCTTTTACAACCTCGCGTATTTCACGACTCATATGTTGCATCGTTTAACTCTCGGACAGCTGCGCTTTTCTACATTTCGCGGCTGATCGTATAATGCAACAGGAGCTTATACGATTTAAGTTCTTGTGTAATGAGAATAAATGCTCAATTATACAAAGTAAATATTTTCAGATGGGAAACTGCTCGCGTTTGTTATTAATATAAACACGAGATATCATCGTTCATTATAAACTGATATTCGCGTGCGGTTCATACGCGGCTGAAGACGTAAAAGGTTCTCAGTTATAGATCATTGATTTACGCTGTTCGTTGCATTTGTTCTTAACTCTTGAATCGCTTTGATAAGATATTCGATTTATGGCGATCCTTTTACTAGAAACAAATCATTCTGGATCTGCGATTCTGCTTAGAATCGCGTTCCTACTTTCTAGCGTTGCTAATTTCTTTGACCTAAATACAACGATCAGAAATATGTTCAATTAAAGAAAAGTTTAAGCTATTTCAGCTCCTTTTAAATTAAATAAAATTGCTTACTGTAAATACAAAGCAATAATATATTTATTATACTTTCAAATCTAATATGCCATAAAATGACTTAATTCACACTTAATTAAATATCTACAAAGAAATAAAAAAAAAGAAAAAATTTTAATATTTCAAAGACAAATACGAATTGTATAAACCGTCATATAGACTGCGTTTTATCAATTCACTGCCAGTTTACTGAAAATCTGTAATGTACGTATCGTGTACAACAGATTTTAATGACAGTGAATGTCGAAACATAGCCATAGTCAGTTTAAAAAAATTTCAATTTTTCTAAAAATAAATTAAAATCACACTTGAAGTCTGAAACTTCTATCTTTTCTCTTGTCTTTTTCTTTTCTTAATACGTCTTTTGCTTAATACGTAAACTTGATTTATTCAACATACAACACCGAATTCCTTGCCAAACGTTGAATGCGTCGCGTAAATCATCATATCATCAACGAAAAAGATTCGAGGATCACCGTTTTAACCGGTATTAGACTACAATTAATATGCTCGTATTGCTATTTATCTCGGAATCGGATATATACAAGATTTTATATACACACGCACATATACAAACGCGCGCGTATGTGTATGTATAGTCAAAATTGTTGAGCGCAAAGGGGTCAACAAGCCATCCTATTCGCTGAAATATAGTTAAAGATCGTCAATTCCTGCTTGGATTCAATGAAAAGTTCCATTTCGTACAAAATTGAAATGCAAAGCATCTACATATAATAAATACAAATATAATAATCGCGCGCGTATTTTGCTACAATGGAAACCGTGGTACAAACAGAGCGATACAACGTATAGGCGCGTGTATTTATGCTCCTCTACAATTATGCGCCTTTTGGAGCAGATCTTTTCATCTTACGGAGCGCTTTTTCAAAAAAGCCTCGCGTTAAAGTATGACAACGAAACGTCACGGTCGGCGGGCGAACGTGATAAAAATCGATGCGATTCCCTTTCTCCTTACATACGATAACGAGTACGTTCGCCAGTAGTAATCTGCGCTGATTGCTGCCTTCGGGGTGTCACGTTTCACTTTACTTCACAGGCGTTTTAGTTTACGACTTCTTCGAGCGCGAACTTATTCTTCGTGTTAACGACGCCTACGCTCTTGGTAAGATACGCGCCAAGCCAATCTTCTATGGTCTATATTTACGCTTTACGGTAATCACAAAGATTGTACTCTTACTTCGGAATTAAAAACATTTTATCACTTACGGTACGGAATTTATAGAAGCTATGAAAAGTCCAATGATCAATCTCTTTAAAACTTAAAATTTGATTTATAGATAGAAATGAAGAGAAAACGCTAACAACTTGAGACAGATCTAATTTTCACAGTTACACACAAATAATTGAAAGGAGGTAATTGAAAAATCAGCAAACAGTAGGACACAAGCTAGGACTAGTTTAATCGTAATCGTCGGAATATAACGTTAAAATTTCCAAAGTCGCGCGAGAGCGAAATAAAAAGATTTATGTAGCATTGATTAATCGGACGTCGCATGCCTCGTCAGACATAAATCATCAAAAATTACCTCGTCCACAGAGAGCTAACAATGCTCGTAGAGCAACGTAGAGAAAACGGCTGGGAAGGTCGCTACTACTTCGTTACAAAGCGATATGCACGTGCCTTCTCTTCTGCCGTGAAAAGTTGAGTATGGAGCGGTCGATACTTGACCTTTTCTCTTACGAGAGTTGCCTCACCGACCCTCGTATTTGAAGAAGTAAGACTGCTCCGAAGCGTAAGACGTTTTCATGGAAGTCCAATTTGCTGTTCCCAGATCATTCTGGGGATTTAGACGATCGGTACCGACGCGACGCGACGCGACGCGACGCGACGCGACGCCGAAGCGGACGGTCCTCGGAACTCTTTTACAAAACGTGTAGATTCTCACAACTCTTTGACTTGCTGTCACGCGCCCAGACCTTGTCAAGCAAATTGCGCACCTTCAGGCTAGTGCTGGTCCGACTGCCACGATATTTCTTAGGCGAGTTGTTCTCCGAGCACGAACCCAGCGGCGATTTGCTACGGTTCTTCCGCGATCTTTTACGGAACATCTCTCTAGTCCTCTCGGGGTTCTCCAGCTTCAGGCGAATTTGCGTGAGCAGGCCGACCAGTAATTCATCGACGTTGTGATTAATTCCGACGGATGTTTCGATGAATTTACAATCGTAAGACGTTGCCATGGATTTGCCCTCTATAACGATAAAATTGATTAAATTTGAAATGGTAGGTACTGCGCGCTCGAAAAATCTTTCGCGAGTGAGCACGTAATTAATATATGTGTATATATCGCACACGTATGTTGTCAAAATTAAGAATGTATAATAAAACTTAATAATGTTTTTTATTACTTTTTTTTATTTGCCTCGGATTCCTCTACATATAAATAAATAAATTCATTGCAAATCCCGATACTATATTATTCAATTCTAATTACCAAATATAGTATATCATTAAAGTCTCGATACGATGCGTTGTGGGATATACCGCGGACAGGTGCAGTATTACAGAAATAAATGCATAATCGCGAAAAAGATGCTATTAATCTAGTCACGTTTAACAATACTGAGAAAGCGTATTCTATGCATCAGCCGCGCCGCGCTGGGGAGGAGATAGTTAAATGGCTTTTTCCCGCTCTACTGCCCTCGGAGCAAATCGAGGTGCTGCGTCAGTACATTTGCGTACGATGCGTTATCTACGATCGGCCTACATCAGCACTTCACCCTAACCGTCACCCAAATGATAGATAAGCACCTCGTTTCTCGAGCACGCTCCTAATCGCGCGGCGTATTTCTATTTTCGCGTGTCTCCGCGAACTATTCGATTTGGGATAAATAATTTTGGAGAAAGAAAAGGGAAATATACTCGTATATAGGTATATATCATGATTATTTGGTCTTAAAAAAATTACCTTCGGTCGATACCAGTCGACTGCGAACGAGATCGACTTTGTTCCCCACGAGGATAACCGCTCTCGCGGATACGTGATCACTCCGCCATAAGGATTGGAGAACCTCCTCGGCAACGCGCACCGACGTCCGATCGGTCGTAGAATAAACGACACAGTATGCGTGCGGCTCGTACGTCGAGATACAATTTTCCGGCTGTAAACATTAATCATAACGGAGATAGATTAACACTAATGACCACGATCGAGTTTATTTGTCACCATTTCCAATTTATGAAACATCGTATTTGGTCGACGCATATGAAACAGCAGTTTCGCATTTTCGGTATTTTTTTTTCTTTTTTTTTTTCTTTTGAATAATGTGCCGACAAATTAATTACACGTGTAACTAAAATCACATTTTAATTGCATTATATTCTTCATAGCAAAAAGTCAATTTAACGATTCTAACTTTTTTAACGAAAAAAGTTTCTTTCGTTGCTGTGTTAATCTTAAAATACTTGTAAAAATCATGTGCGGATGTCATGTAGAACAATCTATTTTTCCAAAAATTTAAACACGCGATACAATTTTTCGGATGTACATAAATATTATTATTATTGACGAATATATTATATTAACATTAATAATGAAGCCTGGCAGTCTTTATTTTAAATTTATGATATCCATTTTTATTAACATGAAACAGTTTCATTTTGTTAACAAAATTCACGTAATTTTCAGAGAAGTTAATTAATATAATTATCTCAGTTTAGTTACATTAACTTGAATATTACAAATAAAAAGTTTTTCTTTTGCATTTTAAACATATCCTATTAATCCAATTCATCCAATGAATCAAATACAATGAATAAAAGTACCTATCATATTTCACATTAAATTTTCCCATCCTACAAATAGTGAAATAAACATTTTTTTATTTCCTTTCAATGAAGCTAAGATTTTCCTTCGATTAAATGTATTATAAACAAGAACGCATCTTTTATATGATAAAAGAATTTGTTAGCAATAAGGACATCGAATTCCGGATCCTTCGGTTCGGAGAAAGTTGAAATTAAAATTTTATTTATGCCAAAAAGATCCAGATTGCAGACGGAGGATTAAAAAGATCTATCTTTCAGTTTATAAGGCGCAATCAAATTTCGCTGGTTATTATTATTCAGTTAGAGTAAAAAGTTCCTGGAACGTATAATTGCAATCGCAGCGTTATTGCGACACCCACCGAGTGCTAGGCAATAAATATTTCCGGGCGATCTTTTTCACCATATTCCATAATTGGTGCCCGTAATGAAATCCAGTCGAAACGAAAGGGAGATAAGCTAAAATTACTATAAAGATCTAAATTGTATAATATTTCGGTGGAGCTTTGGAAAAGACGGAGTATAATATTCACAAAGTAAGTTGGAGCGATAATCCCGCGCGGCTGTATCTAAATCTCGCTATCTAAATCTTAGTGATTTGCCGTAATCTTTTTGACCCAAATGTCTGTTTAATGTAAACGGAGACACACAAAATTGATTTATTCAGAAAAGCTGCTTTTCATAAAAGCACGCGCAATATCTGCTGGAACAATTTATTTATATTTGTAACTTTCATAAGTATTTTCAGATAATTTATAATGATCGTAAAGTACACAGAAAGTGATAAAATATTTCAAACGCATTTAATGTGAGTAAATCGGATTGTTGGTTTTTTTTTTTACTGACAAAAGCAAAAGTTCAGTTTGTCCGACTAAGGGGAGGGAGAGGGACGTAGCGTTAAATCACGTTAGCGCAGCCAATCGTTAAAGGTTAAGATCGTAACGAGAACGGGTTCTGTGATTTTGCGAACAATTATACGAAAGAATTACCTTGAACCGTATCAAAGGCACGTTGCGCCTCGTGATATCGAATATATCTAGGGATCGACCGGTTAACGGTCGAACGCGCGGCATGGCTCGATGCTCGTCAATGACTCGCGGCACGCCTGGTCGAACGGAGGCAGGAGAGAACGAAGAACGCTTCGTTACTCCCTCAGGTCCTTTTTCTTATATCCCTCGAAGCTCGCGCGGGGGCTTACGGTCGTAGGTTAGCTCGTCATTCGGTAACTTTTACTTGTGCAACTACCGTTGCACAAAAACCGCAAATCTAACTATCGCGTTATCGCGTTGCGTTTGGATGCCGAACGAGCCACAGGTCTGAAGGAACCTAACATTGCTTCAAATGATATAATAAATTTCTCTCTTCCAAATAAGAACAATGTTTTTACAACGAAATATATCCGAGCCGCTACGAAAAGTAATGTTACTTATACGATATAATATATCATCGTGATATTAGATTAAAAAGAATATTTCGAGATTTCTTAACCGAATATTCGTTTGTTGCTGTACATATACATACATTTCAATATCTAATATTCATATATATTTTATAATTATTATTATAAAAATAGTACATTTAAAGATATGATTATTGAAGGACTATTAAGATTTTTAATATTACTCGGAGGATATAGATTTACTAAAAGTAATCCAGAATTTATTTTAATCTTATCTCATAGGTGCTTCTTTCTCAAAATAAAACGATTTAATGTCTGCTGACATTTTCTTAAATGTAATGCTACAAAAGACGAGAATTGTATTAAAAATAGCATGCGAAAAATCAATAATTGCGTATTCATCTCGTTTCTTTCGTAGGTTTCTACGCATGCGGTGAAAAGTACAATTACATAATAATTTGAGAAATTAATTATTCTGCAAAAATGATTACACACCAAAGGCAACATTGCTTTCGCATCGCGTATTTTATATATATATATATATATACATATATATTTACGTGGATATTTACATAGATTAAATAAAACATGTGGCGGCATTCGACTTTAAAACCACAACGTAGAGTCGCCCCATTTGCACTTAACTTTATTGGTAAACTTTGTTAATGAATTCGCGTAAATGTAAAATAAATACGAGACTTTCTCTTCTCTCTCTCTCTCTCTCTCTCTCTCTTTCTTTATCTCCCTCTTTTTTTCTTTCGCTCTCTACCTTGCTCTTTTAAATTTATAGAGAATGTTTCCTTAGATAAAATTTAATTTTGCCAGAGATCCTTTCGTAATTTTTTAATTTCTTTCCTAAATTTAAAACATTAATTTGTGAGTGCGCTGCGATATAAAAAATAAATTGTATCTTTAAAAACTATTATTTATTTAAGACACCAAATTCTCACCATTTACTTACGCATTATTTAATCATTCTTCTTTAATAAGAATTCCATTAGATATGCTATCATTCTTGTGACTCCATTAATCACTTTGACAACTAAATTGCGAGTTGAAACGTCGTTAAGATAAAATTCAGTTAAAATTAGTCGAACAACTCAATTAAAAAAAATTTTAGCTAGCTCAGTAGTAACTATGACGTATTGCACACAATGTAATATTGCTTCAAAGCATTATATAACTAACTGTATACATTAATACCAGTTATATAGGTTAATAGTTAATGTATGTTTAATATTATGAATAATGGATGTGTATATTATAACCGCAAACCGCTGATAGATTACAGTGTTTATGCACAATGTTATTTCATCAATTATTCATTTTTCAATAATCTATCTTCATCGATATATTAGTATAACTTTATTTACGTGACATATCTAATGAAGTAACAACAGTGAAGTTTTTAAATTGAATTTTTAATAAAAATGTTACTGCTGCTTTAAAACGCATTACTTTGTTCGCTTTACAAATCTTTAATCAACACGAAATTAAATTTTGGTCCTTAAGAAAAATTTTAAGAAAAATTTTAAGAAAAATTTTAACATCGTTTCTTTTCACAATTTTTTAATTTAATAATCCATCGTAAATAATTATGTTTTATGAATTAAGAATGTATTAAAGTTACAAAACTGGTTTCACTTTTGATTATTTCATGGCTTGAATATTCAAAATCGCTCCATTTCTAATTGCCTTCCTTACAAAGAACTATCGATTTCTTGAGACATTTTTATCAAGTTATTTCAAATTGATTGAAGGATACGTTGATGAAAATTGACTCCTCTAAATCTAGGACACGTCACAATATACCGTAACAACCTGAGCTCGAAATATTGTATCGCTTTCTTTTGTATAACAATCCCCTTGCTTCAAACTTTTCAAACGTATTTTTAAGAAATCATAAAAAAACAAGATAAATGGAACACAACTCGCTTTTTATTCAAGAAAAAACTGTTCTCCATATTAATGACAATTTAGTTTCCTATTAGTTAGTAAATTTGTTATCTTATCTGTGTTAGAGATTGCCATTATAACAAGTTTATCTGCGTAATAAGTACGCATTAACTTAAATAGAATTTTACGTTCTAATATAATTTAGGGTCTATTCGGGACTATCAACGGAAATCAGGAATCGCGGCCTCACGGTCTAACGTGATTAGAGATCAACCTTGACTCTCGGTACCAAGAATAATGGCGCGTCGCAGATCGTTTCGGGTACGGCCTTCGCGTTTCGGTAGCCGGAATTCTGTAGAATTTAGGAAGTTCGGAACTCGAGAGTTCGACCGCCATTAGCGCAATGCATCGTTCGAAACGTTTCGTCGGCGTACACGCGAATGGCGAAGATCAGCCGTGGAGCGGTCGACCGCGCGATATACAGTAGCGTTGTATGGTTGCGAACGTACGTTTTAATTAAAGGGTAAATTCGATTGAAATTATCTGGCGAAGCGTGGCAGTGGTTCTACCCTCTCTTCTCTCCGTTTCCTCTTCTTCCCCCGTCGACCAATCCCCTCCCAAATATAATTGTGTGTGTGCATCTATATCACGACGGAGTTCCACACATTTACAGCGTACGCAAGTATCGTCGCGCCCGCCAACGCGTCAGTTCGCTCACCGTGGAAAATGGATTTTAATTTAATTCCCGCGATACAAAAGCACACACCGCGTGCCCTCTCCTGGACCGTCCTTTCAACCTGCTCTCTCTTTCTCTCTCTCTCTCTCCCTCCCCTTCTCCCCGTGTTAACTCGATTACGTCGTCTCCGTCGTCGTGAGAGCACTTCGCCGGAGGTTCAAGGCGCGGTCTACGTCCGTTACTTCGTTCAACGAAAACGAGAGATGACTTGCGGCAAAAATGATTAGTTCAGGGACACGGAAAATTAGCGACATTATGTCGTGCGCATCGGTGATCAATTGACTACTGTAAAAACTGTCTGAAACCTGTTGTGAACTCATTGTCAGTCATATCGACTCTCATCGTTTTTTTTTTTTTTTACCTTTCGTCGTTCTGTTCTCCTCTTGATGAAAATATGAGTGTCCGAACATCTGAATTATATACGGAGGAACACTTTTGCTCGCTCTATGATAATCGAACATAGGTTGCAATATACCCATATATAACCATGATTTCAATTGGGATAATATTAGAATGAAGAACCTTGTTTTTAAAAAAAATTAAACGTTTAATACGTCTGGGATGCTTAATATTAAAAACCAAACAAACAGTCTCTGTCTCCAAATAGACAGAGGATCTTCATCTGAGAGGTGCTTACATACCGATAATCAACAATATTTGACTCTGCAGTACCATACGTTCTATCATTTTAGACAGTTAATCCGTTATCGTTGACACTTACACACAGAAAAAAAATTAATTGGGTGATACAGCAAACCTGTAACTTACTGCGCGAATTCAACATTTATAACTAAGAAGATTTGATGGTTTGACAAACCGTTAATGTTATTAAACTGTCAACTTTGCTACTTGATTTAACATGAAAAATTGACTGTCTATTTATTACGGTATAGATTTGCTGAATCAGTGAAGTTTTCAGTTGTGTTTTTTTTCTGTATACATTCAATTTTTACACATTATATTTTTTTACCATCATCTGTGATTTCACTTGCAATAATTTTTATACAGACTTTATTGCTATTTACATATTTTTATACATTGACATATATCACATTTATACTCTCTGTAAAGTTTATATGTTTTGTTCACGCGACTATGTTACGTTCACGAAGTAAGTTTTTTCCAGAGTAAGAAATGTTTCTGTCATCGTTACGGTAATTTGTTTTTTAATTATTAAGTGTCTCATGGTTTTAATCACTAGCATACCCAGATTTCTCGGATATATGAGCCGCTATTAGACTTACCGTTATTTCGGCACAAGAGTGATCGATGAAAGTCAATTCTGACTCCTCACCAGCCAAGAGTACGCTGACCGTCTTTTCGCCGGACTCGTCATCTGTAAAAAAAAAAAAACGTAAATGAAAATATAACTTGGCTTTCAAGTACGTAGGTAGCATCGTAAACAAATGAAATATATTAAACAACTAGAATAATAATTAATTAATTAACAAATCAAACCATAGAACGATCGAACTAATTTTTTTTATGGAAAAACGAACACTTGAAATTAAGGCCAATATTCGTAATCGATCATCATTTGAATAATCACATTTTTTTTCATAAATCTCACTTTATATTACAGATTTTTCTGTAATCGTTCGGACACAACAGTTGCATCGCACTCCAAACTCGAATGGAGAACCTGCTCGTTTTCGTTTCGGCTCGTTTCCGGCTCTATCCAGGAACGAGCGCTTCTCTCTTTTGGGATTCTTAAGCTGATTCTACAATGAGTCGGTAGTCAGTAGTCCTAAATCTTATCCTTGAATCGGTGAAGTTGGCCAACAGCCAACTCCTCAACGACTAAACTACCAATTTTCATTAAGATTGACTAAATTCGACTTTATTCCTTCTAATTAGTCGAATTAAACGACTCGCTGTACAATTAACTAGTACAAGGTTGGCCATATTCGACGGAAAGATCTGGCAACACTTTTTTTTTTAAATGAACAGCAAAAAATGTGTTTTTTTCCCATGATTGAAAAAAAAAACATCTTTCCGTCGAATATGGCCAACCCTGTAGATGCGAAAAATCATAGTCACCAAGGTTAAAACTAATTAAGACTCAAGATTTCCGACTACCAACTCATTGTAGAATCAGCTTTACGTATCGAGAGTCGTACGTATCTTCGTATGCTGTGTTCGATCGATGACTGACCGGAAGGGGAGCGAACGGAAGGATCATGGATTTCGCGATTGGCGGCAACTTATTGATTGATCGATTCGACTTACCGATCGAAGTGTCGTAGGCGTGCAGGTATTCCGAAGTCATAAATTGAGACACCAAGGAGCTCTTGCCGACGGCGGGGGCGCCCAGCATAAGGACGCGGTATGGCGCTGGACCTTGAGATGCGCTGCTCTCCCTCGAACTCGCCAACGAGCCCGCCGCCGAATTCCGCGCTGATCCCGGATACGAGGCAGTCAGGTGTTCCGTGCTGCGTCGAATAGAAGAAAGGCTAGGCGCGTATTGAGATTAGCACAGAATAAAGTTACATCGTCGATTCATATCAATACTCATTTCATAAAGGCCTAAAGGGATTCTTCGAGTATTCGAGAGAAAACAGGGAAAGAAACTATGCCACAAGTTTTTCTTGTTTTAGATGATTTTCGATGATTTTGGGGGAGATTTTGAGGGATTTGCGTAAATTACTTGCGTTATTGGACGAATGTCGCGGACATTCAGTTTCTCTTGAAACGTTAATTTTTTTAGATTTATAATGGTTAGATTGATTTATAATAATACTACAATCGCGGATGAAAAAAATATGCCTCATTGGAAAATTGAAAATGTAGGTAAATTTTTATTTTTCTATAATTATATTATATATTATTATATAAATATTGTATATATATATATATATATACTTATTTTACACATTTTTTAGTTGTACCAGAATTTATAATAAAAATATGAATCATAGTAATTTTAATCAAATAATATAATAATTTTTCATTCGCTGTAATATTTCAGACGCATAGAGAAAACGATTATTAGATATTATTTTCAAATGAATCTGGAGACTCAGGTGGATTGTTTGACTTGTTGTGTATGAAAAAATTGAATTGCATTATAATCTCTCCAAAAGAAACTGTTATATGATTATATATGATGAGAAATCATAAATGTTTGTGGAAGCTATTTAATTTTACATGACATAAGTAATCCGGATCAGATAAAAAGTTGCTTTTTTAAAGTGAATATATTTCATTCTTATATTTCGTACATTTATTCCTCTATTCCATGAAAATATTTGTTTAAATATTTCATTAAGAAAATAAAATTTTTTTTATCAAGAAGATACTTGTATAAGAATGAAATTAATAATTCTTGTCTTTAGGAAATCTATCCCAGTTTCCAAATTTATTGGTTTTAGCATTATTATTCGCGTTAATCATAAATAATATAATAAAATACAATCATGTCTTATATATGTATGTATGTTGCACTATGTATTAATATAACATAAATAATACCAAACATTTTTTCGTTAGTATTCCACTAAATAAATAATAAATCCAAATGTTACGTATAGCTATAGAAAGCGTCGTGAGATGTTTGAGATTCATAGCTATAGAAAGCCTCGTGAGATGTTTGAGATTCATATCCTAAAAACATGTTTTACGAAAATACGAACTGATTTTATCTCAGCTGAAATTTCATCATTCTTGAGTACTTCATATAGCTTTTGAATTTTCAACGTCAAATATTTTGAGCAAGTAAGCTTTAAATTAGAATCCCGTTAAATTCTTTTTGAAATTAACTTAACTAATTAATTTACTAATTAAGAAATATAGAACTCTGTAGGTTAAGGCCTTGAGCTTTATTTTTTAAAGTCTCTCTCTATTAGATGCCTTTAAGAAATGATGTCTCTCTTTAAGTAAATTTTCATAGAAGTAGAGAAAGGTCAACTTTGAGTTTGTTGCAGAGCAATTCGCTCTTGCAATTCGATATAAATTTTAGAAAATATTCTGCGTTTAGTACATTGAAAATGTATTCCATGCGATATTCATTCCTCATTTTATATGTATACCGATATGAAACTCGGCAGTGTTTAGAAAGGGGAAAAGTATCTCAACAGATTTATTCAATCGCGTGAATATTCAATCAACGTTTCATATTTCAATAGAATATGATTGTGAGTAATAAGATCGGCGCTTATAACGATATGTCTAGTTATCTGAGTCATTGATACTCTGTGTTTTATTAATTCGTTTGATTCGATTATTAAGCGCTATTATATATAAATATTGTACAATACGTTATATTATATGAAAATATCCTTTTAAAAGAAATTAAGATTCTTTTATACAGTCCGTGCATGTCAGAAGTTTACATAAATTTAATACGTAACATATTTATGGTTAGACCATAAAATTATTTTGATCCTCTGTTACAGTTTAGATAAAGCTATCTTTTTATACTGTGTACGAGCTCGGATATCTCTTCATCTTTTCTGTATAACATAAATTTCTCGAGTGGCATTTGAATTCCACTTGTCCTACTTTTTCGTAAAAGATATTTTTAAGTTTCTAAAAATTACAAATATACGACTGTCTCATAAACAAATCTAATATGCCATGTATAAACAAATGTCATGAATATATCAATCGTAAACAAAAATCTATGCGATATAAGTTGAATTTTAGACTTGAATACTTCGGTGTGAATTTATTTATACGCATAAACGCGTATAAATAATGCATCAAATTAATAAAATATTTGTTAAAGTTAAGTTATGTTATTGTTAGCAAATTTGTAAAAATATAAAAAGCTAGTCTTTATATTCTATCTACATTTAAGATAAAACATACATTTAAGATAACATACAAAAATTGAGTAATTGAATAATACTTTTATAAGTACTATATTTTGATATTTGTATAAGAAAAAGTATGTTTATATTGAGTCTTTTTAAGATAACTTACTAAAAATTATTCATAGATATTATTTATTGGATTTTTAGAAAATTTAAATTTTTCTTTGTAAAAACTAATGATTATTAACAACTCAGTCTCCAAGTCGTACTAAAGCTACTTTTTTAAAATTTTCATTTTAAACGGTACTTTAATATTTATTTCCGTAAAAATATTGTTTTGTTTTATTGCCAATGAATCAAAGTACAGAAATATTCTCAGAATATATTTCCTCAGTACTTTTATTATAATTTTGTTTAAATGTTAAGGGATACGATATAGACGACTTCCCCTTATAAAGAGACGCTTATAAAATGACATCTCGCGCCAAGAGAGTCATATAGAAATACATCCTCGCAAAAGAGACATTATAACATCTCTTTTCATATTCTTTATTAAATATACGCTGTTTCAAGTTACTGTGAAACTACCGTTATACATAAAAATTAAATATGATATCGGATAATATTTTTTTTATTACAGCAAAAGAGTGTACAAACATGTAATTCGTAATAATGTATAACCAAAAATGAATTTATAAATTTTTATTTAACTGTATTTTTCAATTTATTGACTAATAAAATTAACGACTCGTTTGCTACAATCAGCAGGTATAACAGATTTCTGAAAGTATAGATTTATGTGAAATTGAATTATTTCAATGGACATAACTGATTTCATTGAACACATTACACGAGATTATATAAAGAACTAGAATAAAAAGTATTTCAAATACAAAATACAAATGAGAGCATACTTTGCGAAGAGATATTTCATGCAGAAAGTGTAATATTATTTCGAAATGCAAAGCAGGAATATTTCGAAGAGCAAGTACGAAATGTAATATTTTATATCTCTACATGCTTTTTTATTAAGCGCCAACTGCGCTTAGAATACCCTGTCCAGCTCCAGTATATATTTGCATGATGTCTGAAGACTACGCTCTAAGGTCCAACGCGCGTGTCTACGTAACTTCAACGCCACACGTAAACTCACGCGTTCGATCTAGAGCGACAGTCTAACTCGTTGCTGGCTGCGACGAGAAGATGGACCGGAGATAGAGGTCGGAAATATTCTACGGTGTGCTCCTTCCAGAGCAATGAGCAGATGAAGTTACAATCGCAAATATCACCGCTCGATCGTAGAGTAGGTAATAAGTGAATATATCGATCGTGTCGATGTCGCTATTGTTATCGTCACCGTGTTAACAAGAATACATACTTGTCAATACAATTTTGAAGCAAGATTCTCATACATTGCGAGAATACAGAGAATATATCGGGAAAATATTCAGTAGAGATCATTATTTGTCGACAGTAATGATAAAAGACTCAGAAATATAGAACTATAAATCTATGTTATTAATAGTTAATAATACGAATCTACAACGTGATTGGTTAGACACTAAAAAAGTATCACGATTTTTATATTTCATTTAAATACAAAGGTTATAAGATCTGACAATATTATCATAATTGTCTGCGTCATTCGCGCGCATGAGTGTTTGAAATTAACATTCAAACGTCTTAGATTGGAACATATATATATATATATATATATATATATGACTTACCAGCTCATATATATCACAAAAATATATGTCAAATTGTATCACTTGACCTCCTTAATTATACTTGAACTCACCTAGAGTTGCTGGACGCCATGCTATTGTTAGAGCGTGATCTGCGGCTCTTTAGGGAATCGCCCCGGTTTACCACCCCTTTGCCAGTGATGCTGAAATGCCGTAGTCTGTAGTATTCCTCCTCCACCCCGGTGTTAGGCATACTCGCTACTCGCGATCTTTGTTGCGGAAGACACAGATAATTTGGTCGACCGGAAGAACGACTCCCGGGAGCCTTTACCGATTGTGATCGGCTATGATGGGGACTTCCGTATCTGCGGGTTATCCGATTATATATTGGGTCACTATATATTGTTTGACTATATAGGACGAAAATTTGACTATCCAGAAGGAAAAATTCATATTTCAAGAAATAAAATTATTGAAATTCTTTAAGATTCAAACAAATTTCAGAAAAAGATAATAATATAATATAATAACACACAAACATATATATACACATTATCCTTGTAAATTATTAAAGGCATAGATTACGTTTATACGGCTCGATTTACGTCGAAGTTATAACATGTCGATGTTATGGAACTGACCAATCATAGGCTATTTCTCTGAAGAATGGAATGATCAGTGATTGGTCAGTTCATAATATCGATGTTTTGTAATGGTATATACTATATCTTTTTACTTGGAAAGTTCGCAAATTTTATTAAATTACCGCAGTAATATTACAGTTAAATTGACTAGCAATTTAATAATTCGATGCTCTTACGCATCTTACAACAATCTTAATGCTGAATGATATTAAAATTTGTAAATAATTAATTCTTATTAAAATATTATCTCGGCTGGAAGTCGAATCCGGATCTTTAGCACATTCCGTGCAAGCGTCTTAAATCTTTAGATCATCGAGATGGACCACCGAAGCAAGGAGGTTTAAAGGACTACATACAGATAGTATATAAATTCATACAGAATTATACAAGAGCTCTTAAAATCCAGTTAGATCGTTATTAAAACCGTTTATTTCTATTAATGATTTTTTTAATTAATGATTTATTTGTGAATCACTATAATAATTACAAGTAGAAATTAGTTTAAATGAACCACTAATGTACCTAATACACACTTCCTTGCTTTAAAAATGACACAATTAAAAAAATTAAGTTTTTCAGAAAAGAAGAAAAATTATTTTTCAACTTGACAGAAAAAAATTGGTTAATCAAATAGTTTCGATATAAAAAAAATATAGTCTTAATATAATCAAATAACATTTTCATCTTTAAAAAAGCTCCTCTATTTTTCAGTTGTGATGATTTCTTTTTTAAACCATCCCTTTTGAGTTATAACATTTTTTATCAAATTAAGTTAATTCACTCTTGATAATTGATAGAGTAATGTTTATTTAACTCATTCATAGTAATAATTCGAAAATCTGTTTCTTTGATCGAGTTGTTCCACTTTTAAAATAAAGAGACTATATATATTATCAAAATGACGTGTATACAATATATTTATTAAAGATAATTTTTTATAACAACTTGAAATGTTTAAGAAATGTGTTGTTATTATTATTATTATTATTATTATTATTATTAAACATGTTGAAATCTTAAAAATATTAAAAATAATAATTCTTTTATTCATATTAAAATGTACATCTCTTTATATTTTATACGCATCGTATCTTTATATACCTTATATCGTTTATTAAGTATTAAGTTCACTAATACTTAAAAAGAAAGTAAAAACGTATGTAATTTTATAATTTTGATGACATAACTACAATCTCATTTAATTTTTTTACTATAACAAACGTATCTGTCATGGATTTGGAAAACTTTTCGAGTTTTTCTTGTTAAAAAATTCCTCTTTTACTTTTCTTTTTCTCAAAACATTTGGAAGATACTCCCAAAGTTGTTGTACGAACCGTGGACTCACTTTTCTTGTGAAAAGGCTACGATCTAGGAAGATTTTTTGATAAAAAAATTATAAGTTTTCCAGGTAACACATATCAAACCGTGACACATATCTTTGTCATTTTATATAATTAAACAAGATTAAATTATAAATAATAATTACAAAAAAAAATATATTAGATAATCCGCTCGTATAAATTTCAAACAATAAAAAAAGAAGCTTCTACCAGGTCATTTCAATAAATGAGCTTTGAAAGATGTAAACAATAAACCTTTATTATTCTTTTATTATCATTTCACGGAACGTTTCGACCATACTAAGTCCTTATCCTTTTTTTAATTTTTTTTTTTATTGTAGATCAAATTATGTTACCAAAATAAAAATTTTACGCAAGCACACACATATATATATATTATTTTTAAGAATGTCCGAGAGCTCATGTAAACGATAATCTTTTTTAAATTTCCACACAAATCAATATATAGTTCTGGAACATATTTAGAATGAGACACGTGTCTATAAATCTTGCTATCTACTGTGCTTGATGTTCTTTCGAAGTATGGATTTTTCCTTCTGAGATATTCTCTATATATAATAAATCTGTAAATATTGAATAACTCTTGGCCAAAACTTCAGACAAAATTTTTGGGCAAACTTTCTTTTATTACAATTAAGAGAACACTGCTTACTTGAAAGCAGCTTACGTGAAAGAAAAATGTTTATCGAGTTCACTGCGTTAAGCGGGTGCAGTTTATTATTTTTTAAATAAGTTAATATTTTACTGATCGCATTATCAATTAGGTGTAATTAAAAATACTGTTAAGTAGTAAAATATTAAAAAAGGATAAGATATTGATTCGTCTCTGATTAGAAAACTGTAATCTCTTTTTAAAAAAATTGTCTATATTAAAAATTTTGAAAGAGAGAGAAGGATATATACATATATATTTAAAATACTTTACTAAATATTATCTATTAATTACGTCTCGGAAAATCTTTATAAAGAAGCTCTTCATGTCATGCCAAGATCGTATCATTTCCCGCCGTGTCGTGAAACCGCAAGAACAGCAGCAGTGATCGATATCTACTTACCTCATCTCAAAGTCGTGTATCTCTTGCAGGGTGAGGGTGTTGGCAACATCCAGCAGCTGCCGCATGTTCTCCTCGCGTCGCCTGGCGTCGGCGTCTGGGTGTAGCAGAATCGTCGCCGCGGGCGCGTCCAACGACAAAGACGGCTGTTGTACCACGATCGTCGCCTGAGTTGATCGCTTGCTGCCGCCACTTCCGCCTTTCGGATATGAAAAATTTACTATCCGTTATCCTGTTTTCTCGTTTCTCGGGCTCGTTGATCTCGCGGGTCACGAATCGGCGGAAGAGAGAACCGTCTCTCTTATCCCCGCGTCCTCGTTCCCGTGTGCCTCCTCACATTCCGCTCTCGCAGAATGCATTTCTGGAATTTCTTATTTAGGCCATTCTTCTTCGTCTCCTCGGCAAAATTGCCGAGAAGATACGCTTACGCGAAATGCGTGTCCTGGTCTGACGACGCATTCGCGGTTGTCCTGACGGAACCGCCGCGCCGTCACCCGTCACCCGTCGCCCGTAAATTCGTTTTGATGACGATACTGCGCAACAATCTTTTCGATACGAGGATAGAATCTTGATAATGCTGACATCGATTATGGAAAAAGTTTGAGTGTATTTACCCGTCGAGTGTACAGACTGGGTTAAGGATCTTTACCTTGAAAAATTTTCCACGGTTTCAGCTCGCAATAATCAAGAGCGCAAGGGGATAACGTAACTTTAATAGAACGAAGAAATTACACGTCTTTCACGTTGGTCATTTATTTTCTCATCTTTATCTTAAGCTCATTCTATAATTCAATTCACAAAATTCGAAACAGAATTTAATTTATAATTTGATATATCGAATTATAAATACAATTATAGATGAGAAAAATGTCTTCTATTGCAAGAAATACTATGTATCGAATACGTAAATTAAGTTGTAATTTATATTATATGTGAATAAAGCTTGTTTATCTATTCAATTGAACACGACTATTTCACTTCTATTCTTCTCTACGTTAAATATCATAGGAGTAACGAACTGTAAAGTTCTGATTTCTGATCGAGAAATGCTAAGTAGACTCCACGTGGTGCATTCTAGATAGTATCAAAGTATTTAGTATGATCTTTATATGAAGAATGTCATTTTTGAGCAATTCTAGCAATGTTTCCACCACTTCCCGGAAAACGATAACAAACGATTGTTATCACCTATTCTCTAAAGACCCAAACAATGATTGCATTTATACGGCTTGATTTACGCTGAAATTATAACATTGATGTAAATCGAGCTGTGTGAACGTAGTAAATGATTTTTTAGGTCTATTCAGGTGTACCTTGGAGACGAAAATCGACACCTTTTTAATACCCTTTTTTTTAGTCGTAATCGTTTCGTCATTAAGGTCTCAGTAAATCAATTAATCATAATTAAAATTGTAATCTCACGTTTTAAAATGCTCGACTACAATGTGATTGGCCGATTTGCTTACAGTCTTAAGACGAGTATTATACGAGTATTTTTTACGTATGATGGTCTTAGTATCTAATTTTTATTAGGAAACCTTGCCTTCGGAATCGATCGTACAGTTCTCAAAATAAAAATTTCCATACATAATATAGCAATGACTTTTTTTTAGATAATACGCAGGCATTGTTAGCATTTCAAAAATGAAATGCACGTGACCTCTGAAACTTTGAGAAAAAAAATGAAACGCGAAGAAATTCATTGGTAATCATCAGCTGATAGATCGGCTTATAAATCTATAGATAAAATTTTGTCACTCCTTTTCGAGACAAGTAGCATTTGAAATCAACAAATGCGCTAACAACGATGATCGTCTCAACAATCCTTTTACGTAGGCGATAGCTGTTATTCTCTCGTGAACTTTTCTCATTCGAGCTTCTTCTCAGTACTTAGTAATTTCTAGCCCAGCCTGTGCGAAAGTCGACGGGTATCTTTAAGACGCGGAAACCCCTCGTTTAAACAAAAGTTCCGCAATCTGCGATCTCTCGAGTCTCGCGCAATTGCAATTACCGAGATTCCATCCGGCACTGTCGACGTGACGAACGGAATAATAACAGGGATTGTGGATAGCGAGGACGGCGATCCCGCAGACGCGGTGTGTACTAGTGAATATAAACAAACAGATAAAACGACAAAGCGTGATTCGATAGCAAGTCTCAAGCGGCATTCCCATGTTTTCTCCTTCGAGTTGCTAAACGGCGCGACGTAGCCGAAGCAAACAATCGCGTTGCTCGAATCGATATTACGCGTGAATTAAAATTGCAGGCCTATTCTGTAACTCTTAACTTAAATTTCGTCATCTTTTATTATGGTAAAAAGCTGCGTAGCGGCTTACTTATTATAACAATAACAAAATTTGTTAAAAATGTGTTAAAAATTACGAAATAAGCTTACTGATATAATTTTGACGAGTTTTTCAGATTTCGATGCTACAACTATGCAAAAATGAATCTAATTGTAATCGTGAGTGTAACGTTGCGTGCTCACACAATCCTTGACTGAGATAAAATTAAATTTAATTTTCTTGACCTTTTATTCTCTTTCGAACATGTGTTTGCATTTATATAAATATTTTTTAAGATTAATATTAATTAAAATTTGGAGAGAGAGAGAGAGAGAGAGAGAGAAATTATAATTAAATATGTAATTTCGTCATAATGAAAAATGACAAATATAATATAAACTGTACTACCTTTTAATACATTTATAAAATGCTAAATGATAGTTTTTGCACATACGAAATACATTTTTAATTAAACTCGTACTCATGAAAACTAGTCTTAATTATATTTAATGCGACAAAAATTGTGCGAGTCGAAAATATTGTATGCTTATATAATAAAATATATCACACATTTTTCCATTTTTATCTGCAGCATTCAAAATATTCAGCTCGACGAAATTATATAATTTTAATTCTCAATATCGTGGTATTATTGATGAATTTATGTCTAGCTATCTATGTATAACGACAAAATTCACATTTTGTGATACATACAGTACAAGAGAAAGCAGAAATGTAGAAGAGGTAGAAATTTTTAATAATGAGCTATACCTATGAGATATACAGTTTTTCTTAGGAAGTATACAAATTTTTTTAAATTAAATTATAATAAACAGTATGACATAATTTCAATTTGTATCTCACGAGATGCAAACTTCAACATATGAATATAACAAGTAGAGAATTTATTTAAAAAATATATGTTTAATTCTACAGATTGGTAATATAATGAATAAGAGACTGATAATGTAATTCCATGTTCCTACCTCTTCCTTCATGAATCGTTCCCATAAGCATCGAATAAAGTTAGTGGAGGTTTAATTGACTCTCAGTCATTTTTCTAGATTTATTTTTTTAAAGATGTTTTTTAATCCTCCGTGAATTTTAAATAGTGTTTATGCGAACGGTTTAACTTACGACGGCGACAGAAATCACACTAAGCCGATCAGTGTATTTTGCACACGCAACGGATTTTCAATCAACAACCAAAACACTGACGATGATATTTCCCTCGGCTACGACACTGATTACCATCACAGACTTCGCGAGACAACGAGCTACGACGATATTAGGATAGACGATACGGCATCGAAATATCTTTTAGCGATATTTTTCCATCCACTAACTGATAAAAAATATCGATAATTTTACCATTGATATTTGTTATATGAAATTTGTCAATATGAAATGTGTCTATATTCACTTTTTTGATACGACTTGTGGCCCGTAAGCCGCGTTGCTATTGGCTGATCGAAAAGAATACACCAATAGCAACGAGCGCTCAGAGATCCGCCCCACAACAGGGGTTGAGTTTGCTGAACGCAACCAATCATACACAGCTAATATTTGACTATGCCGTCGTTTAATATCATTTCACGAATACCAAATTTTTGTGCTTTATTACCATTTATTTTTCTAGGAAGTGATACACCGATAAGAGATTTCAAGAGGATCACATTCGAATATATTCAGATATAAAACTGTTTCCATTATTTTATTCTGGCGGCGAAATAAAAAAGATAAACAACGTTATAGCTACAAATGACACAAATCGACACTGTATATTAGACACAACGTACATGTATGATTGTTCCAATGCTGAAAAGCACCCTAAACTTCAGTAATACTTTCTATAGTATACATGCAATACAGTAAATAGCCGTCTATAACTTAGCAAATAGTCATCTATAATGTAGTAAATATAGCTATTACAAAAAAATTTTCATAATTGTTTTTTACTTTTTCATTTTATTCCATTTTTAATTCTGCAATATATTTTTATAGCTTTATTAAAAGATTTTTACTTTTTTTTTCTCGTTATTGCCTATATCGATATTTTTTGTTGATTATTTGTTGATATTTGGACGGATCAGCGCTGCAATTGGTAATGCATATCGATTGATGTAAGTATCAATGCGACAACGCTACATCATCCATCCCTTGTCGACATCCCAAAAGGACAGTCTCGCTAGAATGACTTTAGTCAAATAAAAAAAGTAATATCTATTCTCGCGCTGTTTCTTTACTCTCTACCACCAGATATCGTTATCATCGTTGTCCTCGCAACTCGTTGCCGTTGCCATTGCTGATATTTACGCGACAGAGGCGCAAGCAGTTGATTGACAACGCAAGTGAAAACAAGAGATGGAGAACAAAAGAAAACAAGCCCAAGCGCATTCGCATAGTCACATTTGTGTTACTGTGTTGTATCCATGTATCAAAAAGGGCGGCCGCCGAATTGTGGGAAGCTTTGTCAGATTATATAACATTTTCCATTTGTTCTCACTCATTCATTCACTCGTCGTCATCGTCTACATCGCCGTCGTTTACGTTCCTGTCCTCGTCGTCATTATTTACGTCTACGTCGTCTAAGTCGTCTAGATCGTCTAGGTCGTCATCGTCGTAGTCGTCGCATAAGTTTCATGCGTTTTCAACGGTCGCCCTGGTATGGATACGATGCCTACATCATCTATTCGCCGGACTATGTAATACCTATTGCGCAAAACGGGAAAAAGAGCCTGACCCATGAATGAATGGCTGAAACGAGTGGATGAGATTCTGAAAAAAAAGAACATCAATTGATTTCCTTACAGATTACCGTTCATTTTTCTCATTTCTTTTCTTTTCTTCCACTTCACACACGTGTTAGGAATCGCGCACAATAAAAGGAGTAGGGAACAGAGAAGAAGAATAGAGAATAAGAATTTCAACCGTGTATCGGAAACTGCGTATTCCACAATATACATGATTTCTGATAGGTTGAAATTCTTATTCTCTATTCCCTGTCCCCCATTCCTTTCATTGCAGTTCCTTTCTCATACGCGATACGCGCACACATATATTATATTAAAAACACATGGAATCGGTTCACGTCGATATCAATTAACGCTAAATCTGATTAGATGTATTTTATTCCTTCCCATTTGTGCGGTTATCGTTGAAATTGACGCAGGATAAAAATAAAGCAATTTATTAGGTGTTGGAATTAATTCGTAGCGTTTTACAAGTGATGGGAAGTACTTTCATTAATGTATTTTTTAATGCTCATGTGAAATAAATAACATTCTTTCATTAAAAACGCTACGAATTAATTCCAACACCTAATATATTTTCAGATAAAGAAAGCACTACAATGAAATGTATATTCTAATATGATACCATTAGTCGTTGTGACATTTTATAATAATTTAATTAATATTGACAGCTTTAAATGAAAATATATATATATAATGAATATATATAATGAAAATACTTTCAATGAAAATATTCGTGTTTGACTAGACTTTTCCACGGTCTCTCTGTGTTGTAATCAAGATTATAAGAGTCATAGAGTGTATAGCTGCCACACAATTTAGAGTCCCTAAGTAGAATTACTTAAATATCTCGATTGCAGAATGGATCGATAGGCTTGGTTAACTGGTTAGAGCGATTGACAGCCCCGGTTAAGTAACATACGCATCTAGAGAGTAAAATCGAGAGTTGCTCGCGATCGATGCTAACCGAAGTTATCGGTTTTCTGCCTCCTAATTTGTAATGATAACCGCGAACGAGTGATCGATCAGTAGGATCCCCCCAAGCTCATCAAATAACTGATATGAATATGAATTTGGCAACGAGATCAAAATGAGAGAGGGGGGGGGGGAGGGAAGAGGTAGACTGAGAGAAGGGGAGAAATATATTCGCGACTAGAAATTCGTGAGAGCGAAGTCGGTGGGGCCAATAGAATATAACAGAAATTTTTTTTTCTTTTTTTTCTCGCCGATAAAGGTTGCGACGTGTCTGTCGTTCACGTCGTAATTTCAACGAGTCTTGATGTCGCCTTTAGGGGCAACTAAACTACTTGAGAATGTAGTACTACACTGGGGGATTTCCATATATATTTCGTAAAAATACAAGAAAAAATTCTCAAGAGACTCACCAGCTGATCGTCCTCGCGATTTCGTACTCGCATTACTTTGAACGTTACAATCCTGGGTATTGCATGGCTGGGTCGCACTTATAAGCGATATATCGAGAGGATTGGTCGTCACGTTGATATTGGGCCTCTTCTGGCTGCGCTTGTGCTCGATCGTGCCCTTTTCCGCTGCGTTCACCTGAATCGAGTTGACTTTTCCACCGGCCGTATAATCGCTTTGATATCCCACTCTGGCGTTGTGTTTCTCCTGGGCAGCCACCAGATTTCGAATCGAAGACCGCGTGTCGACCGAATCGGGTTGGCCCGCGTCCACCGAGCCTCTCACGGGGGTGCTGAATGCAAACACGATTATAGAATAGGGAATCCGTTGCGATTACGTAGGTGGATTGCAGTGATTGATGAATTCATCGAATCGAAGATATCCCTTAACTCTTATCCGAGCTTGAAATAAAATTCAGTCCAGGAGGACAGTTTGAAAATTTCTTGTAGCTATTATAGTTGTAAATTTTGTATTAATTCCCTTGAAAAATCTCAATCTTTACTCAAAGCAGAGATGGAGATCTTTAATCTGGAAATTATTGCACGAGATAGCGATATAAAATCGAAAAAAGGGAAATATAACTGACAGACTATAGATATAATTCTGTAGTACTAATATATTTTTCGTTCTCTTTCCTAAATCTTTCTAAAATTCTTATCTTTAGCTTAGCACAGGGGAGCCTGAACGTTTCATACAGTACTCTTTAGACATCTCAATACTTCTGATTTTACTTTCTAAATTTCGAGTAAATTTTATTACACTGTAACATCGATCGACAATTTTCTCATTCGGCTTCTTCAATTCGGCTATGAAACGAAATTAAAAAAAATAAAATCTATGTTAGTATAAAATGTATTCTCTACAGTACTGTTATTCGCTGTTCCTCGTCTAATCGCGTTTCGCTGGGATCTTTATTCAGTTAAAAAAGTCAGTTGAATTTACCTAAAGAAATCCGCGGCTCTGAGATCTGGAAGAGGCGGGGTTCTGCCGCTGCCGCCGAAGGTAAATCTGGTTTCATGGTGCGTGGGAACTATCGACGTGAGTGATGGAAGAGTCGCCGTACCCTCGCTATTGCTCGCGTTGTGACCCTGATTGATAGAGGTACCGGTGGTCGTCTTATTGTTACCATCCTGTTGACCTGAATCGAGTTTCATGCGCATACAACGGTTCGAGGGCCCGGCGATTTCGGTCCCATCGAAGGCGCAAAGCGGAGTCATGGGCGACGATGGAAGCGGCAATGGCGGTGTAGTTTGATTCGCCGCGATCGGCGCCGCGACAGAGATCGGTGACGTGGGCGACGTCGGCGACGAATTATTGTTGCCCCCGAGCGTATCATCGGAATGTCCCCGATGACCAACGGGAGGGATGGATGATTGCGACGGAGCAGTAGTGGGAGGCGACATTTCAGCCGGCACGTCGATCAGATCGAAGCTGTCGTCCGGCTGTTCCCCGTCTGTCGTCGTTACCTGGAATATAAATGAATGGAAAGGAATGGAAAGAAATCGTGCAGCCAACGAATGCTGAATTATTTGTCTTGATATATTTTATAATCGATAAGAATTATTTCGTGTGCCATTTTTTTTTTCAAATGACAATATCGCAAAACACGATATCGCTCGCAGTCAATCGCGAGAATTTTATTCGTGTGTTTATTATTGTATATTTCAGCGTATGCTAATATAGAGCATCCCGCAATTTTTGACAAAACGCTCTTGTGTAGATAGAACGGACTAAACTGTATCGAAAAGTCCTCTTTTACAGTTTTCGCAATTTTTTTTTTAGTTTTTCAATAAGCATAATGTCTAAAATCAACGTATAAAACTTATAACTTTAGGATATCTTTAAGAGTTTTTTTAAAAAATATCTTTGAGTATTTCATAAAGAACTTGGAAAGACATCTTAATGTTGTAATATACATTGATTTTACCCGCCTTATTTGGCAATTTTTAAAAATTAATATTTAACTATTGTGAACCATAAATCATTATAAAAATGATATCATTATAAAATGATAGAGAACTTTTCGATTCATTTTTTCATAAACGATACGTACATCGTTCATCTGAATTACCATGCATACATATACATCGATTATTCTTCTAAGGAAATGTTAAAAATACCAATTACACCGCGTGCAACGTTTAAGATTTTTTTTCGCGTGAAATCGGATTTTCTTTCTTATTTATTAAGCATCTATCATTTCAGAAATTGATTGACGTGTCCGAGTTTGAGTTATAAAGTAATGAATGAATATCTTCAAAGTGATTGATAATCTAAAATGATATATCAAATTTCCTCGAAGATATTTATTGTTCATTACTTCACGAATCCAAACGCATTAATCACTTCTTTCGATTGCGCCTTATAAGGAAAAATATCTGATTTTCATAATAATGTTCATTTAATTCGGGCGTGTTTATTAATTCATTTAAAATTAATTTTAAATACCATGCCTTCGGGCGGAAAAATATGACTTGCACGTTGGTTTTCATGCTTAACTACGATCTGAAATACTATGAATACTAAACACGCAAAGGTGTCTATTAAATCCCAACGCAATGCAAAAAAACACTTGTACTTTTTTCAGTATGGATTCATTAAACAGGAAATATGGAAACGTTTCGTTGATCGGCGCATAATTTACTAACTTTCTTCGATTGATTGCTGCGATGCAACATCATATAGGGCACTTCATCAATTAACATACCTAATTACCATTTAATATCGCACCTAATTATCATTGAATAATATTTAATGCTTACGAGACTCGTAACTGAAACTTGTGTTTGACTTTACATTGCTTTGTAAAAGTATAATATACATATAATGTAATTTACTATTAATGTTAATATTAATAATATAATGATTAACATCGCTTTATAGGTATATATTCAAGTCTTATGAAGTCGCATAATAACGATATAATATATATTTTATAATATATATTTATTAAATATAAATAGGCGAGCTTAATTCAAATCTCGATTTTGCGGCGATAGACACAAATTTAACTTTAATCTCGGATTTTAACTTTGATTCAAATTCCAATTTTAATTTTAATTTTTAATTACATAAATAATAACGTATATTGGAATAATATCGGCAATATGCTCTTGTATACACACAAATCATGAGCATTTTGCAGTACCTATTTATAATATGTTGATGTTACATGTACCACCCACGTCCGGTCAAATTTGCATCGCGTCACGTGCAATGCCGCCAACGCTGTTTGATAAAAGGAGGATAACTATATGTAATATATTAACTATTATCCTACCTACCATGGTGAGCATAGTGTTGGCGCTATCTGTGCTCGTGTTGATCGTGGTCTCGGATGCCGTGCTGGAGCCCATGACCACGACTTTTGGCACTGTGCGACAGCTACGGCTGCCGCCGGCCGATTTAAAATTGAACCGCCGGATCGCGGACGACAGAAGATCGCTGTCCCTGCCGCCGCCGCCGCCGCCGCCGTCGGCTCCATGCTGTCCCCGCGATGGCTGCGACTGCGATGTATCCCCTGTATCACACGCGCTACTCCCCAAACTGCCACATCTGATTGCCGACTCGCGATTCCTCGAACACCCCTGCAACAGTTCGGATTACAAATTCGCGCACGACCCTCGTTCGTCACCCGTCATTCGTCACGCGGTACGTAATCAATCCATCGAGACGATCTCCATCGAAATTCGATAATTCGTTCAATGCGAGAAAGAAGAATTTTTTATAATTTTTTATTTCTTTTCGTCGTGATTTTCCTTATCTGAGTTCACTCAAGAATGATTATGGTTATACTATAAACAATAAATTTTAATCAATATTTTGTTTGTTGACAGGTAATAAATTGTTAATTTCATAATGTCAAATTATACCGAATTAGTATTATTTTTAATCGTTTCTATAGCTTATCACACTTGCCATTGCTTCTACTCATAATATGTCATTAATTACATAATGAAGTAATACAATCTAATTCAAGAAAATGTGTTAAATTTGACTTAAATTTAATTTATTATTTATCAAGTGCATACATTAATATAAATGTTGTTTGAAATTAAGTAGGTACAGAAATGGAACGATTTGGAAGCGATTTGGAAGTTAAAAATAATAAAATATTATATAATTTTCAATTGATGACGTACGTCAAATTGATATCATTAGTGGTGACGTGACGACAATTTGATTCGTATCACTAATGAACTGCATAGAGCGAGGAATGCTGCGGGTACCAAAAAGATGTCAACAGTTACAGTAGTGCATATTATTAGTTGCAGTTTATTAGTTCTCATCCGACTGCGAAAATTAATTGTATTTCGTATATTTTTTTCCATTTCTATCGTTCAATTAAAAATTTATTGTAACTGATACCGCGGAATCTGTTTGCGATCAACGTTTCGATGGTAAAAAACTTATAATTCTTCCCTACTAGTGATATCGTTATATTTTTGCATTCAATAGGTATGTATCAGTATTTAATTTTTCCATCACTATTTCTCTTTTTTTTTTTTACTACAAAATATTATATAATAGCGATATAAAAATGATTCAGATTCTAAAAAAAAAAACACTTCATATTTACAAATAAAATATGCAATATTATTGTAATACATTAATACATACATTAATAAAAATTATATTTTATTTGTAAAATATTAGATAATAAAATCATCCAGCAAATAACAAATAATCATAATAATAGATATTTAATATTAGTGAAATATATCTCCATTTAAGGATACGTCAAATTGACATCACCACTAGTGATATCAAAAAGATGGTCACCACTTGAAGGTTCAATCAATCAAGAGATTAAGGTATTATTGTTCTTCTTATAGATGTATGTATTTTTAGATTTGAATTTCTTATGTAATTATGCAATATATGTGTACTATATGTAATATAAGTATAAACATTAAGAAGAACGTTCTGTTGTACCAATAAGAAGTATAAACAAAACCAATTCTGATCGTATGAATTAAAATTCTGATTATCGTAAATAAATTTTTACTTATCTCTATTAGAACGTTTGATAGATTAATATAATAAATACAACTATAAAAAAAATGTTAACTATAAATGACTGCTTTGTACTTTTCTAATTGAATCTGTGAGAATTCTAATTAATGCAACGAAACTTTTTCAGTATATGTATAGTTACAAGAAATTTGAATATTTTTTTAAATATATGTAAATAAATATGACGTTACAAGAGCCCTTTTTATCGTTTATGTCCAATTTTGAATGATGTATTGAAATAAAAAAATTTATTGGCAATATTTAATGTTAAAAAATTACATCGATAAAGTTCCTCTTTCTTAATATCTAAATGGATTCTTATATATTTCACTCCGTAAAGTGAAAGAAAACGTTATAAATTGATTAAATTTATAAAAATTTTTCAAAATAAAGTCTTTGATTTTTCAAAATCCGTGAATGAGAGAACTTTTCTAATCTTATATTCTTTCACAACAGCTAAAAATACAAGAATCAGGTGTGGAGAAACAGAAACCTTGTAAAGAGATCTATTTTCGATCAATCATCTTGCGCAAAAGTAATTGAGCAATATAATATTGCGCAAGACAAGAAATAAAATTTCACACAAGTTAACATTTTGTCATGCAAAATTTAATTGTATAATAATAATAATAATAATAATAATAATAATAATAATACTAATCACGCAAATATATATTACAATACGTACTTTGTCGGGTTGCAACTGACAAATTTGTGCAACGTCTCTACTAACGAAAAATAAATAAGCACTAAAAATCAGATTTTTAATTTTAATTTCACAACATTTGCACAAATTGTTAATCGATCCCATTCATGATCAATCATGTTGCACAATAAGCAACGATTGATCGTAAATGAGCCTCTTCAATCAGTGTTATTGAACAAAAAATTCAAAATAAATTTTACAGGATAGAATAGTAAAATCGAGGAATTATTATATTACGTATTTGTTATTCGCTCTTACTTGGGACTTGTGTTCCGGGGTGGACGGTGGATTCGGTGTGTTCGGCAGCGAGCCCCCCGCAGGGGTACAATGCCGCAGTCGCGCCAGGGCCGTGCGAAGCCCCTCCGTCACGAGAATCTTTTATTGCTTCCGATTTTTCACCTCTGTTCCCCGCGCCGCCTTTTTGCTCCACCCTTTCGCGTGGTGCCTTCTTCCCTTAGAAATCACGTTCTCCGCTCGCCACGGGAATGATCGTTTGCGGAGGAGTCGAGAGATTCACGGATCTGTTGCCTCGTGCCGCTGATTGTGTCCCGCGCAATTTATCAACCACCACATTCACCATTGCACATTTCCTCCGCCCTTAGACACACAACCCTCCGATTCTCCTCTTTATCACACCCCGTTTACTTTCTTTATCTTATCTAGAGACACAAAGTTCGGCAAAGTGTAATAAACTCAATCACTATCGCAAATACAAATTTGCTAAATCATTCAATTAATGATCATTGAACAATCAATAGTATAATCGTAGGATGATCATTAAACAATGACAATGGCAATAAAAATAATCAAAATTAAGGTAATCACACATCACGATTAAATCGTTCGTCATTAATTATTCGTCAGTAAAAGGATAAGCTTTTTATCAATTTAAATTAATACTATATTTTTTAAAGATTAATAATTTTGTAATAAAATTCACATTTATTAGTTATAATAATAAGTTTTACAACATTAGCCATATCGTACAATTTATTTTAGCCGTGTAGAAGAGAGAGAGAAAGAGGGAGGGAGAGAGAGAGAGAATTAAAATTACTCAATATAACTCTCATTTTAAATTCATATTAATAATTCACATTATTCTGATAAGTTTTTTTTACGATTGCGTATAAGAATAATTTTTCGATGAAAAAACTTAATACATATAAAAATATTTTTTATTAGAAAATATCAATGTGCAATAAAATAAGTCAATAATTTTTCATTATGTAATTATCGATTAATTATTAATGATTTTACAATTAGATTTGATTAATAAGTGATTATTTTAATTTACTATATAATAAATTTTAACTTAATTGACTATTTTAATTCATATTACTAGTGATTATTTTAGTCATAAATTATTCATTGACACCTTGTTTTTAGACAATTTTATATTGATGTTTCTATTAAAATGTATATTGACTAGGTGTTTCCTATCGTTTACATTTTATTTATCGATGACATAGGTATTTAGTAGTATGGAAAGTCGTTTATGTTTTATTCATCCTTAAGATGATAGATAGCTATTAATCAACTACTAATCATCATGAAAATAATTATTTTCCGATACTGCTTGGAAGAATCGAGCCGTAAATCGAAGTGATCTCTGCGATTTAATGGTAAGCCTCGGAGGCTTGCTTGGTTGATGAATTCAAGATGTGCGCGATGAACAAATACTAAAGCTTATGCATACTAAACGATACACAAGAATCGCAATACCGTATCTTGAGTGCAGTAAAATGCAAATTCTCATATCAGTGCGAGACAACATCAAACTGTCATGGCAATTTTCATTTTAGATTAAGATCAATTACTATACACGCGATTCGACGTGACGTTAGTGTTTATCATATATCGGAAGTAGTAACGTGTGTAGTGGCAAAAAGTTTTTATTAATGAGCTCTCGCATTGTCACGCTTTTGAATAAAGTAAACACATTAGACACGCGAATGCACGATGAATAGTAATTTAAATTTGATATGTGTAGATTCTCTGAGATTCTTTTTCGATTAGGTTAAATTCACGAAATACTTCTAATTACTATTATATATATTTTTGTTACGTAACTTCCGACGATGATTTTTTAGGATTTTTATAAACTATCGTAATATATGTATATTATTATATACAATATTACCATATATGATCAATATTATTGTCAATATTGTTAATACTGACAGTATTATTGACCGTGTAGGATCATCTATAGAATGCGACGAGATCTATTCTTATAAAAATATGCATTTTATGATTTAACAAGCGAAGAAGTTGTAAAATTATAATAGTTTGCAGCTAACTTGGGACATAGTCATTTATCGTGCAGTAAGTTATCCATGTGAACTTCTATTACCTTATACACGTATCACACAACAACCTCTGTACACGAAGTCTCGTTTCTTTGTTGCAAAAGGTTCTTGCGCTTTCGTCAGCTCTCTCTCTCTCTCTCTCTCTCTCTCCCACCCTTTTCGTAAAATTCCGAACGTCTGTAAAAGGAGCACAAAGGGATCGAGTGAGGCGTGGCGAGAGACGAAGGGATACAAAGGGGAACATGTTTGTACTTTACGAACGCGTTTACATTTTACGTAAGTTTCGGTTGAATGAGTTCGGTTTTTAGTTTAATTTCGGTCCCATTCGATGCTATTCACATGTTGAAAGTATTGAGAGGACGGAATTGTCTGTGAGCGCGATGACACGTGCCTAAAGGAAAAAATTGCGCTCATAAATCAAGTATGGTGGAACGTATTATGCTCATAAATTGAAGGAAAAAGGCTCTATCTATCAACCCTCTATGAGAATGGAGAACTAAGATGTTCGCAAATTTGTACTCGAAGTAAAAGAGAATCGTAGGCCCAATTTTCGAAATCATGAATCGGATTTATTGTCATTTCTTCTCTTAAGAGATACTGGTGACGAGCAAGCGACATGTATGCAGATGCAAATACATATATAAGTTTAATCCTCTCCCTCTCCCCATAAAAATCATATAGATAGCTCCGATAAGATGATTTGCATGAACAGTTACATGCATATTTTTGCGGAACGAAGAATATGAGTTTTGCATTAATAAGTAACATATTTTACGAGAGCTTTATACAAGATTGCACGCAATGCAGATTAGTTATTATGTCGGACAAAAGTTTGACGGCATCGAAGGAAAAATAAAACGCTCACCATTTCGTCGTAACAATATGGAAACTTAATCTTTTTAACACGAACTTTCAAAAATGTATAGCCAGGATAATTACGGCTATACATTTATGGCTATTGTTTTATAAAAACTTTTTTAACTGTCGATAGGATCTCGAATCATTTATTGTGCAAAATTCGACGAAAAAAAAAAAGAACGACACGTTTCCTGTGCGAACACACGCTTCAATCCGTCAGGCAATTATATTTTCGTCAAAATTATTTTACGCCACAAAGAATTAATCCTCGTGTTAACTATTTTACAGAGTTAACAGACAGCGCTATACTTTCTCGTTGACGGTTGACGTCCAGCTTTGTGTCCTATATTGGATACTCGTTAAATATACCTCTAGTGAAAAGCGTGGAAATATTTTCAGCGTTATTTGTCATATAAACGGTGAATTAGCTTTTCCGGATATTACGATCGCATGGAGTGTAATGCTATATAAATACAGGCACACAGTCGCACTTCCTCTCACTTCGACGGTGGAGTCCGAGTAAACGCATCGATTAATTATCTACGATACGACCACATTTCTCTGATAACGCTGCACGAGAATGACGGATTTCTCATCGCTAAGCCCGCTTTACATCGCGTTATACGATAAATGCGTGGTCTGAAGGGTCTGAAGTAAAGTCGGCGGAGGAGAGGAAATTCAATACATAAATATGTTGTATAATGTAACGCAAATAATATAAATATGTCCCGAAATAAAATAATATATCCTGAATAATTATACAGAAATCATTGATAATACTGAATAAGTTAATTATTCAGAATTGATATTGCAAAATTTTGGTTAAGAAATTCATCAATGAAAAGTAACGCTGAAACGCCAAGCTATAAATCCCCATATTGTAATTTCGCAAATATTGAAACAATGTACGTGAGTTATATGCATTCATTAAAATTTCTACTCTCTCAAAATTATATAAAAAGCGACTATATAATGCTGTCCTCAAAAAATGAATAATTTTAAATTATTGCAGAATAGGTTTCATATAATGACGAGAATAGAACAAAATTTTTAACTTAATTCTTTTTATAATATTCATTTCTCCTTCATAAGATTTTTTTTTACGCCACGTCAACAGTTCATGTATCACAATAATACAACATATAAATTTAATATACAATATTTTCCTACGATGAAATTTATTACCGTTTCTTCATGATTTTAAAAACATAACTATAACTATATTTTTGTCATAACTAAAGAATATTTATTAATATGCAAGCTAATTCTCTGCATCGTATAATTAAGTATTGTATTTAAAAAAATACTACAAAATTGTATTTTATTCCAATTGCAACTCGTAAATCGTTTTCGAAAGCAGAACTTTATGGAGAGAGAGAGAGAGAGAAGAGATGATACAACTATAATATTACAGGTTGGTGGATTCAGTATTCATGGATATCTGATTGTACATATTTTCGAGCTTTTGTCGGTTTCGATGAGCGTGCCAGCATGCTCGCCGGAAGCGACTTGGTTCATTTTTCAAATATGAACTTCCCTCGTTCGAGCACTTTCATGACGATTCGATTTCGCCGGATGGCGATCTACACGAGAGCACGTCGAACGTGACAAATCTGGCAATTAACTTCCATAGGTGGCGACGATTAATCGACGGATTAATATCGAGACCGATCGTTAGGGCGATGAAAATAACATCGCGACAGAATATCTCTCGGAATTGCGAATGATGGAAGTCGAGCGATTAGGTCGTTGAGTGCATACAGGAACGCATTTGAGAGGGCTTAGGGGTTCTAAAAGACTTCGTCCAGCACGTTTGGATTCATGTGTGAAAATTTCGATTAACTTTGTGAAAATCTAATTGAATATCATATATGCACTGTTATGATGTACATAGAAACTAAAAAAGCCTATCACACCGCTTAATTAACTGTTTAATGGTAATATTCCTACCTTCTAATAGCGTTCGATTGATATTTTATAATACCCATTATAATAAATCAATTAATAAAACATTGATAAATTGTCATAATGATTTGAGTATAACACAATTGGAACTTAAACTTTATGTTATATATAGATAAATCCAATATTAATTAGAGAGCAACAACGGGGGATGAGGATGTAAAAGAAATTATGACGATGAATAGGGGGAAGTTGAGGTGATGCAGGATATGGTACGAGAGAACGTAGGCCGATCGACCTGGTTAACCTAACCTACATAAAGAGAGAGAGAGAGAGAGAGAGAGAGAGAGAGAGAGAGAGAGAGGAGGGAGGGGGGGGGGGAGGCTCTCTCCCCTCG